AAGGGGGGAAAAAAAAAGGGGGGGAGGTCGGAGGGAGTCACGTGGTCTCCCCATATGCATGTTAATTCCAGCCAACATTAACACAGATCAGCTAAAAACATCTCCAACTTTAGATTAAAGCTTACGCAAGCCAAAGCCAAACACGGCCCATCGCAAGCGCCTTCCCGAACGAGCGGGGAGGGAGCTCCGCCAGCCCCCCCAGCAGGGCTGTCGCACTCATCATTAACACAACAGGGTAATTATTTGGATGCATCCTATTGTGCGTCTTTGGGATGAAGGGCGGCCTTCGGCGCAGGACATGTGTGCTCACCATCCCTAAAGGCTTAAAATCCATAGCAAAGCTTTGGAAGTAATGACAGACTGTAGCACTTAGGGGTTTAGGGTTGTTTTCTTTTTTTCTTTTAGCATCTTTTCCAGCCCACAGCATTTTCTTCTTAATACAAAGCAAATTCAGCTGTTCCACAATCTGTTGGGAGGTCAGAAGTATGATTTGCCTTTAAACAGCCTCTTCCACCCCCATCTCCCCACACATCACCCAGCCAGAGAAGCAGCGTGACCCCCGTTCTGTGGGATGCGGGGATGGAGGCACGGACCGAGATTATCCACGGTCGGCCAGTGAGCAGGGACGGAGCTGGAACAAGCCACCTCGCGGCTTGGTAGGAGCAGGGCTGTGATCTTGGCGGGCACGGTGTGAAATGAAGAGAAATTCCCGGGAAACATGCTCCTCTGGAGCTGCGGGCAGCGGGAGGACACAGGTTCCTGCATCCCTGCCAGCTCTGGGGGACAGCTAAGGTCACAGGTAAGCTCTTGGCCCTGACTCCATCAACGGTGTCTTTCTCGTGCTGTTCCCGCAGCATCTCTCCGCAGGCTCCGGGCCAGACCCCGTTAGTGGTAGCAGACCTCATTAGCTGAGCACCAGCGTACATCAGTCCAGCTCAGCTGGGGATCGGGACGTGCTTGCTTGGGACAGCAAACTCTGCCAAGTATTTCCTTGAACCTGGTGCTGTTGGATATCACTTTTCCCATGCATGAACAACTCATTCCATTAGCAAGAGCTTCCCCAACGGCCGTGTGAAGCCTTGCTGGTCAAGTTCGAGGTGCTTTAAAATAATGACAATGTGAAAAGTTTTCCTGCATTTTAATTGCTTTTTTTAAAGTGACTTCCATTTGGGGGCATTCAGATGAAATATTAAAAACCCGAGTAGACTAGACCTTTAGGTGGCCAAAACTCTCCTAAAAAATGAATTCATTTAGCTGCAAGATCAAAATTTGGATAAATAATGTCAACTAGACATCAAACGTAGCATCTGGCGCATAAATTACGCGCACCCCACCAAAGCAAGGCGTGCCCAGCACCTAGTCCACGTCTGCACAAAGGCTTTGGTCAAATCGGACTAAGCACAAGGGGTTGTACGTGGGGCCGTTTCCCAGCGTGCTGGACAAGCTGCAGCCTCCCCTGTACCAAGAGCCTCACAGAGCTACTCATCCACACAGCAACCCAACGGTGGGGAGATGCTCTTTCCCCTGCCATCCCGCAGACGATGTCCAGGGCACAGAGAGCCGAACATCACGCTCCATCGAGGCAGGAGGGTCCAAGCGCCCGGTGACCCCCAGCTCTGGTACTAAGTGACTCGGTCAAGGCTAGCCAGGAAGTTCTGTGGCAGAGCAGACACACGAATTCAACTGCCTGTTACACTAACGATCATACTCCAAGTCCTCTAATGATCATCCCGGTCACAGTAAGAGGCAATTTCCATCCCACTACCAAAATTCAATGTACAACATTCTGAGGTTCTTTGAGACTCTGCTAATAAATTAATTCACAGAACTACCCCTTTGAGTCATGGGCCAGAGCCTTGGCTGGAATAAATCAGCGCTGCTGAAGGAAAGGGATAGCGCAAGCGCTGGAGGCAACGTCAACAGGACAAGGTGACCTCTCTGACCTTCCTCAGAGGGGCTGCAGGAGAGCTCGCTGGAGCCAGGCCAGCCCGACCCAAAATGTGCAGGCAAATGGGAGAATTTCCCTGCCTGGCAATTCAGTAATTCATTTACCCTGGTTTCTGCATCTCGGGGAACAATTTCCACGCTCAGTGTTAAGCGGACACGTGTTTGCTTGGGGCTTGGGTGCTCAGCACCTTCGAAACCAAATCTTTCAGCAGTCCAGCCATGGCCCCACCAACCGCTGCCAGCTGCACCTGGAGCCACGCTCGCCCTTCCCGTGCGCCGATGCTTCATACTGGCTGGGTGGGATGTTGCAATAAACCACACGTTTGTCTGCGAGGTGGTGAAGTGAATGAAAATCGAACCAAAGAGGCCCTCAGGGAAGAGGAGCAGGGCTCAGCTTCCCAGCTGATCTCCAAACCCTCGGATCCTCGACTCCATCCTCCAAAACACAGACCGACCCTGGCAAAAGCATCAGACGCTGATGCTCCTCCTGCCGATTAACGTCTGTCTTATTTAGAAAAAGCTTCAGCAAAATAGCTTCAGGTGTTTTTTAGTGTTTTAAAACTCGGGCTCACATTCAGGAAGGATTTATAAGCCACATATAACCTGCCCAAGGGTCCCAGTCCTGCTGTGTATAACCGGTGTTGAAGGCAAACATCCCACTGGCAAAGGGGATACGCCATATGCTCGAGCTCTGTACCGAGCTGGGACCTAGCTGAGCAATTCAGAGTAATTTCAGCTGGGAAGCTCAGGCTTCTTACCCCAGGGAACCGCTGACAAGACTTGACATTTTTAAATAAATGGGTGAATGGAAGGAGCACGAATTAAGTACCAACTAACACTGCAGGGCTGGACAGCGTATAAACATGTGCTTAACTTGCATGTCCACCTTTTCATTGACTGCTAGGAAAATGGGTTTGAAAACTCATTGAACTCACTGAAAAAATAGGGTTTTTTTTCTATGTAAAAAGATATTTTTGCTTGAAAAAAATATTTTTAATATAAAAAGTTGAGTGAAACTGTATCAGTGAGCCTTACTTAACACTAGCATGTATAAGCAGGGGTGGGTGAAACTATGAGTGGAATCAAAATGTGCCTTAGACCAGGACCAAAGGTAAAAAAATACCGACAGCAAAGTCGGTGTTTTACAAGTGCACAAGTCAGGTGCACTTCCAATACATTTTTCTAAGAGATCACGAAGGGGAAAGTGAGGGAGAGAGAAACTGGGCGCGCTGGGGAGGGGCACAGAAAGGGGGTGGGTTACATACCAGCAACTGTGTCTGCTGCGGGGCTCTCCCCCCATCCCGCAGCAGCTGGCCGAGCTGGTGCTTGCTGCCGAGGGGCAAGGAGGCAAAGCAGGCTTGTTACTGGGGCTGGCTGCGCCCTACACACCATCCTGCCTCCCCCTCCTCCAGGGCATCGCACCTTCTCCAAACCGTCAAACTTTGGCCGTCGCCAAGAGGAAGCAGGTGGAGAAGATGGTGGCAGTATATATGTCTAGGTTTCGGAAAGAAAAGAGGGGAAGAGGATGGCTGCAACAAGCACAACCAACAGTAAAGTTATTTTTTCTCATCGTGCAAGTCCCCCCTTGCCCTTCCTACCCAGACTACAAGCAAACAGTGGCCCACAATAGGTGGAGGTCATGGGTTTAATGGCATTGGGAGTGTTGGCACCGCATGGTCAACCCGGGGGCAGAGAGACGTCCAGCAGAAAATGCAGAATTGCGGTGGGAAGACATTGCTCAAGGCTCGTCTCTTGTGAGACACACTTTCATTTGAAACTGCGGGGTTCAATGGCTGCTCTCCCCAGCCAAACGGTTCTCTGCAGCCCATCTGCTCTAGGATCATCTCCAGGTCACGTTAAGGCCGTACAAGCAAAGAAATAGGTCTCCTCAATTATTTCAGCCCCAACATTGAGGCTAAAACCTGGGAACCAATCTTTTCATGCAACTTAGCCTCCAGCACTGACTGATGGCAAAGGGATCTGGAAGGCTTGTGCAGCCCAAGCCACAGATCATGATGCTCCTTTGGTAGGTGGCAAAGCCACCTTATCTGAAACTAGAACTAAAGAAGCGTCTCCAGCACGTCAAAGGAGATGTCTGTCTGCTGGTGGCACAGCCAAGAAGACAATTCCACCGCTCCCCCAGTTGAAGAGGACCCCTATCGCTGTGGCAGAGCAGGGCTGTTTGCCCCAGGACACAGCATCGCTGGACTTCCAGGCTTTGAAGTGACCAGCTCCTGGACTTTCAAGGTGTTTGTTTTCAATCCCTTCGTGAAGGTCTGCAGACTCCATGGGAAGGATGCTCTCTCCTGCTTCTCTGCCCCCCTGAGTTTTCCTGGCAGCACATTTTAAATATGGGTTTTCTCCTAAATACAATTACGCGATCCTCCCTGCCCCCAGCCAAGCCGAGTGCTGCCTGAGGGGAGAGCTGCCTCGAGGCTCCCTCCCCTTCAGTACCCAGGGCAGGAGTTTTCAGCCTTGCTTTAGAAAGCACCATTCGGATCAGAGATATAAAGTAATGGTTTAGGTAGGGATGCAGCAAAATTGATGAGAGGAGCTTTTTCTACCCAACAGAAAGTCACGAGCAGTGCAATTCACTGCTACGTTATTACCCACCACTCCTCTACGTGTTGGTCAAAGGACCTTCTGGGAAAGCAGCCGTTAGCCCGTCCGTGGATAAAAGGCTCTTCTGCATTTCTTCTTTGGTCTGTCTTCTGCCTCCTTTGAGGTTTGGCTCCCACTGTGCCCGTGCCCGACTTGGGACAGCCTTCGCTGGGTAACTTGACCCCTAAACCCCTGCCCTCCGCGCCGGGACCACGCCGGACAGCGCACACCTCTCCTCTTCCCACGGCGTCCGGGCCAGGACTGAATCACGGCTCCAGGCAGGATCCTGGGCTCGGCGAAGCAGTGGCACAAGGATGCCAGACCTGGGGACAGGCGGGTGCTGCTGACAGCAGCATCACCGAGCCCGCA